ATAACAGGAATAGTTTACCATTTCCTTCTCCAGTTCATTTTATAGATGAGGAAACTAAGGCAAACAGGGTTAAGTGACTTGCCCAGCAAACACAGCTAGTAAGTGTCTAAAGCCAGATTTGAACTCAAAGTCCATATACTATTACCTCTTTATGAGGCAGGAAGAAATTCTTCCTTCAAGCTTGAGGGAATTAGCCATTGGCTAGTCCCAAGGCCCTTTATTTTATTTTATAAATTGTATTTTATTTTTTTCCAATTACATATAAAGACAATTTTAACATTCATTTTTATAAGATTCTGAGATCCAAATTTTTCTCCCTGCTTCTTTCCCCTCCATTCTCCCTAAGACTGTAAGCAATTTGATATAGGTTATGTGCAATAATGTAAAACATAGGGGCAGCTAGGTGGCACAGTGGATAGAGCACGGCCCTGAAGTCAGGAGAACCTGAGTTCAAATACAGCCTCAGACCAAACACTTGACACTTACTAGCTGTGTGACCCTGGGCAAGTCACTTAACCCCAATTGCCTAAAAACAACAAAATAATGTAAAACATATTTCCACATTAGTCATGTTGTAAAAGAAGAAACAGAAAAGAAGGAAAAAACTATGAAAAAATAAAGAAGTGAAAATAGCATGCTTTTCCATCTGCATGCAGACTCCATGCAGTTCTTTCTCTGGATGTGGATAGCATTTCCATTATATGTCTTTTGAGCTTGTCTTGGATCATTGTATTGCTGAGAAGTGCTAAGTCATTCATTATAGGTCCTTTTTCCTTTTTTAATGATTTCTTTGGGATACAGACCTGGTAGTGGTATTGTTGGATCAAAGGATCAGCATGGTTTGGTTGCCCTTTGGGCATAGTTCCAAATTACTCTTCAGAATTGTTGGATCAGTTCACAACTCCACCAATAGTGCATTAGCACCCCAATTTTCCCACATCCTCTCCAACATTTATCATTTTCCTTTTCTGTCATATTAGCCACTCTGATAGGTGTGAGGTGGTACCTTAGAGTTGTAATTTGCATTTCCCTAATCAATAGTGATTTAGAGCATTTTTAAATATGACTATAGGTGGCTTTGATTTCTTCATCAGAAAACTGCTTGTTCATATCACTTGACCATTTATTATTTGAGGAATGACTTGTACTCTTATAAAATTGACTCAGTTCTCTATATATTTGAGAAGTGAGGCTTTCATCAGAGACACTTGCTGTAAAAATTGTTTCCTTGTTTTTCTACTTTCCTTCTAATCTTGATTGCATTGGTTTTGTTTATGCAAACACTTACTAATTTAATACAATCAAAATTATCCATTTTGCATCTTGTTATGCTCTTTATGTCTTGTTTGGTCGCAAATTCTTCCCTTCTCCATAGATCTGACAGGTAAACTATTCCTTGTTCTCCTAATTTGCTTATGGTATCACCCTTTATGTTTAAATCATGTAACTATTTTGACCTTATTTTGGTATACAGTGTGAGATGTTGGTCTATAGCTAGTTTCTGCCACACTGTTTTCCAGTTTTACCAGTAGTTTTTGTCAGATAGTGAGTTCTTTTCCCAGAAGCTGAAGTCTTTGAGTTTATCAAATAGGAGATTACTATAGTCATTTACTACTGTGTCTTGGGTACACTGATCCACCACTACATTTCTTATCCAGTACCAAATACCCAGGGCCCTTTAAAAAGCAAAATCAGTCCCTAGGGAAGAAATCAAGGCAGTAATACAGATACAAAAACAAAGACTCCCTGCCATCAAGGAGTTTACAATCCAATAAGGGGAGACACTTGTTATAGGTTAATGATGGTGTGGAAGGATCACTTTGAATCAGAAATTTACTGGGATTGTGAGACTCCAATGGGAGTAGACTGACACACCCCTTCTGGGAACAATGTTTTATCTAAAATAGTGATCTTAGTGAAGCAGGATAGTGGGCCACCATGACAGAATTTCAGTAGATAAAAGGGTTAATACTTCCGGAACATGGTCTCTGGTCCTGGTAGCAAGGTGGCTGCCAAGAAGATGGTGAGGGAATAGTAAATGTGGAGAGTGAGATCTGTGAGTTGAGAAAAGAGCCAGCTCTGGCTGTTGGGTACTAATTTGCCAAGGGTAGCAAGCCCAGGGACCCCAGCTGAGTAACCTGCTTAGTAGACAATGCATACTGGGGGAGCAGCATAAGGGAAAGGAATGGCCATCCAGTCCCTGCAGTGCAGGAAGTGTGACTTGGCTTGGTTACATGAGTTCACTGTGGGTTCTTTTCTACTACTGTACTCTGTATATGCCTACTCTTCATACTGTCCATGTGTTTAGTTCTGGGAGAGTACACCCCTGGTTTATGGGGATAGGGGGTTCCTATGTTTGTTCTCAGGCTGTTGTCTCTGTAAGTGCCTTTGCTTTGAGCTAATCATGTCTACTGACTTACTATTAAAAAGTTAGTGCACCTGTAGGGGCTCATAAACTATAGTTTTATGAATGTGACTCACAAAGTCCTTGAACTTGGGGGTAGTTATCCCCTACCTCACCTCTCCCCCAGACCAGAGGGGTGCAATACAAGCTTGTGGAATTGACTGTACTTCCTCCGGTGCCTTTGGTGGGTGCATTCTGACAAAATCTTAGTAAGGACAGTAATGCACAAATTTAGTTACAAGTGAATGTTTGTTAAGCTCAATAGACCCGGGCCAAAGGGACCTTCTGATACACCAGCAAATGCAGGTTTTTTGAGCTCTAAGGCTTTATTATGTGTGTGTATACATACATTTTTAATACATACAATTTTAAACTTTTTTTTTATAATTTTGAGTTCCCAATTATCTGCCTCCTTCCCACCCCTCCCCCCTCCTTGAGAAGGTAAGCAATTTTATATAGATTATATTTGTTCAGTCGTGCAAAACACTTCCATATTAGCCATCTTGCAAAAGAAAACACAGACCTTGTATCCCAAAGAGATTATGAAAAGGGAAAAAGATCCACATGTACAAAAATATTTATAGCAGCTCTTTTTGTGGTGGCAAAGAATTGGAAATTGAGGGGATGCCCATCAAGTGGTGAATTGCTGAACAAGTTATGGTATATGAATGTAATGGAATAAGAAATGATGAGCAGGGGGATTTCAGAAAAACCTGGAAACACTTACATGAACTGATGCAAAGTGAAGTGAGCAGAAACCAGGAAAACATTATACACAGTAACAATAACATTGTTCAATGATCAACTATGAATGACCTAAGTCCTCTCAGTAATACAAGACAAGCAAAGACAAGCAAAAAAGACTCATGATGGAAAATGCTATCCACATCCAGAGAAAGAACTGATACTGTCTGAATACAGACTGAATGGTTTTATTTTCACTCCCCCTCCTATACCCCCCCTTTTGTTCTGTTTCTTCTTTCACAACCTGACTAATGAAATTTGTTTTACATTATTGCACATGTATAACCTTCATCAGATTGCTTGCCATCTTGGGGAGGGTAGAGGGGAAAGAAGTAGGAAGAAAAATTTGGAACTCAAAATCTTTCAAAAAATGGATGTTGTAAATTGAATGTACATGTAATTGGAAAAATTAAATGCTACTTAAAATTTTTAAAAAGAAAATACAGACCTCCCAAAAAAAACAAAAACAAGAAAAATAAATAATATTTAAAAAGTATGCTTCCATCTGCATTTAGACTCTACCAGTTCTTTCTCTGGTGGTGGATAGCATTTTTCATCGTAGATCCCTCAGAATTGTCTTGGATCATTGCATTGCTGAGAATAGCTAAGTCTCCCACATTTGATCATCCTTACAATATTGCTGTTACTGTATACAGTATTGTCCCAGTTCTCCTCACTTCACTTTGCATCAGTTCATACAAGTCTTCACAGATTTTTCTGAAACCATCCTTTCTGAATCCATAACCATTTCTTATAATAAAATAGTATTCCATCCCAATCATATACTGCTACTTGTTCAGCCATTCCCCAGTTGATGGGCATCCCCTCGATTTCCAATACTTTGCCATGCCACCCCAAAGAGAGCTATGTTTTTGTACAAATAGGTCCTTTTACTTTTTCTTTGATCTCTTTGGGAAACAGACGTAGTAGTGATAGTGCTGGGTATGCACAGTTTTTATTTAGCCCTTTGGACATACATAGTTCCAAACTGCTCTCGGAAATGGTCTCCAAAAGTGTATTAGTGTCCCAGTTTTTCCACATCAAGGGACTCTACTTTGACAGACAGAGGGAAGAAGCGAGGGGGGCGAGAGGAGGAAGCTTGAATGTCAGGCTCACTCTTAAAGGTACATACGCCCTTCCTGCTGGGCTTCCAACTAGCTCCGCCCCCCCCCCCCCAAGACGGTCGTACAGCTTTAAGTCTTCTCCTGGCTACGAGAACAGGAACTCCAAGGTGAACACTGCCGGGTCATGGCGGTTTCCCGTTGCTGGGCTGCGGCGCTCCTTGACGTCCGCCGGGTTTCTGGGGACTAGCGGCCGCCGCCGCCGCCGCTGCCTGCGCCCCCCCGTCCCCCAGCTTCCTTGCGGATTCTCCGTCTCCGCCCAGCCCGAGGGTCTTTCCCCCTCCCCCTTCACCTCCAGCCAGCGCCGGGGGTCAGCCGGAGCCGGGCCGGGGCCGGGGCCGGGCCGCGCGGGGAGCGGGCGGGAGCGGCTCGGGGCCGGGGGCAGTCCCCAGATGTTCGCCCGCTGACGCCCGCCCTCGAGGCTCGGGATCGCCGTGGGGCAGTAGCGGCAGCGCCCTGGGGGCTTCCCTCGGCTCCGGCTCCGGCTCCGGCTGCGGCGGCTCCCAGGCGCTCCCAGCGGGGATCATGCACTTGAGTGGGCCCAGGAAGGGAGGGGCAGCTGAGAGAGAGAAAAGGGAAGGAGGAGGAGAAGGAGAAGAAAAGCTCGGGAAGCCGGGGGGACGGGGAGCAGGAAGCCTTCCCCTTCGCGCCCCAGCCCCGGGGCCCGAGCTGCCGGCCGGGCCGCGGGCCTATGCTGCCGAGCGGGGGCTCTCCGGCGTCTCGTGGGGGCCATGATCCGGTTGGGATGGTCGCTCGGCCGGTCCAAGGGCCGTGGCACCTGCGGGAGCCCCGGGGCCCTGGTCCGGTCCTCCTCGTCCGGCGGCCCGGCGCGGGGCAGGCCCCTGCGGGTGCTCGTGGACATGGACGGGGTGCTGGCTGATTTCGAGGGCGGCTTCCTGAAGAAGTTCAGGGCCAGGTACCCCGACAAGCCGTACATCGCCCTGGAGGACCGGAGAGGCTTCTGGGTTTCGGACCAATATGGACAGCTGAGACCCGAGCTGAGTGTGAGTCCCCCTGCCCTTCTTCTGCATCCCTCCCTCTCCTGTGCAGGAAGGGGCCAGTCCTGACTAACCTAGTGGTGTTGATAATAACAACAACAATAATAATAATTCCATGCTGAGTGTGAGTCCCCCTGCCCTTCTGCATCCCTCCCACTCCTGGGCAGGAAGGGCCAGGCCTGACTAACCTAATAGTGTTGATAATAACGAATAACAACAACAACAACAATAATAATTCCATGCTGAGTGTGAGTCCCCCTGCCTTTCTCTTGCATCCCTGTCCTGTGCGGGAAGGGCTCAATGCTGACATAACAATAATGATAATAAACCTGAGCTGAATGAGACCCCTTGCCTTTCTGAAACATTCCTTTTTGTGTGTAGGAAGGGATCAGTTCTAACTCATGGTGATGATGATGATGACGATGATGATGATGATGATAGACACTTATTGGCTTTAAAGTTTACAAAAGTTTTACATACATTGTCTCATTTGATCCTTCCAGCAACTCTGTGAAGTATTATTCACATTTTGTAGATAGGGAAACAGGCTCACAGAAGTCACACAACTAATAATAATAGTGAAGGGGAACCCGCTGCTTCCTGAGACAGTCCAGTGTACTTTTGGACAGCTCCCCTTGTTTGGAATTTTTCCTTACAGCTAGCCTAAATTGGCTTTTTCCCCTACAAATTCTACCCATTTCTCCTAGTTTGGGCCTTTTGTGTAAGTCTAATTCATATTCTATTTGTCGGTTCTTCAGATTCTTGTAGACAGCTATCATTTTACCCCAGCTAAGCATTCCTGGTTCCTTCAGCCAGCAGTCATATATAGTATGATCTCAATGACTCTTTTGGCCTTCTTCTGGATATTCTCTAGCACATCACTGCCCTTCCTAGAAATGTGATGCCCAGAACTGAAAATACCAGATGTAGTCTAAACAGGGCAGAGTAGAATGCAACCTAGAACGTGTGGCCTTGAATTCTAGGTCCTAAAGTGTGGCCCTTTGACTGAGTCCAAGTTTTATAGAACAAATCCTTTTATTAAGGGGATTTGTTCTGTGAAGTTTGGATTCAAAGGGCCGAACTTAAGGATCTAGAGGGCCACATGTGGTCTCAAGGCCTCAGGTTCCCCACTTCTGATCAAGATACGAAGAATCTTTTAATGCAGCCTAAGATTGCATTGGAGAGGATCATTGCTTAATGACAGGAGGAGACGTTTGCCTGGGAATTAGGAAGACCTAGGTTCAAGCCCTGCTTCTGACACATACCAGCTATCCGACCACGAACAAATAACTTCACTTCTCGATGCCCCAGCAAGTTCTCTAAGACTTTAAGGTACAGACAGATTGCTAATCTGTACCAATGGAGGGGATTTCTATATTGAGAGTAACCTGCATGGATGAAATCATGAGTTTACACCTAAAACCAGGATTGCATTAGCTTTTTTGACTGTCATGTTACACAGTTGTCTCCTTTTGAGCTTATAGTTCACCAAAACCCAGATCGTTTATCTGATGAATTTCTTTCTAGCCATACCTACTCCATCACTTGTATTTGTAAAGTAGGCTTTGGAATCAACATGAAGGCTTTACATTTATTGCTATTACATTTCATATGATTAGGTTCAGCCCAGTGTCCTTAGCCTATCAAGAATTTTTTTTTGAACCTGACTCTTATATTTGGTGTATTAGCTGTTTCACCCAGCTTTGTGACATTTGCAGATTCAAGAAGCATATAATCAATGACTATCCAAGTCATTAACAAAAATGTTAAATAGTACAGGGACCTGCACAAATTCCTGGGTCTTTCTAACAGAAACCTCCTTCCACTTTGACTAATGACAATTCATTAATGACTCTTTTTTGGGTTGGGCTATTTAGTTCTACATTTACCTAATTGTAATACTGTCTATCTCTGGGGCTAGCTGGGAGGAGTAGCCAGAGTTAGGAATGGCTTTTCCTTTTTAGAATAAGATTTTGGGGCAGCCAGTTGGTGAAGTGGATAGAGCACTGGCCCTGAATTCAGGAAGACCTGAGTTCAAATCAGGTCTCAGACACATAACACTCATTAGCTGTGTGACTCTGGGCAAGTCACTTAACTCCAATTACCTCACCAAAAAAAAAAAAGATTTTATTGTATTTAAAATGTAAAAGCAAGCATACAAAAACAGTCCTTTGGGTTTTAGTTTGCTGATCTCTGGTCTAGCTCTAATCTCTACAGCCAGCTCTGCAACTTAGTACCTACATCATCTTTTGACAAGTCACTTTCCTTTCTCTGGGCTTCAGTTTCTTCTTTTATAAAATGAAAGGGTAAACTTTCTTTCTTTTTTCATTTTTTTTATACTTTGTTATAAGAGATGACTCTCTGTCTCTCTATGACATTTTATAACTTTGAGACCATTTTTAGTGCTGCAGTATAGAAGTAATGCTATTCAGACAGCTTAAGCTGGGGAAAGAAAAATGTTGAGTGGTGTTTAAAATTTAATGAGTACACATAACAAACATAATCTGCTGTTTTTCGCATGGAATATGTTATTTTTGGTGAATATCATTCAAGGTCATATAACCCTGTATACCAGACAGAACACAAAATAGGATCACACTGAAATTGTGATTTGGTCAATCCTGTTCAGAAATAAAAGGATAGTACTCTTTCTACAGATGGGTAGACTCAAGCATGTTGAGATAAATAGATTTGCCCCAGTGAACAGTGAACAGTGAAGAAGAAGACCATAGAAATGAGTTGGGAGATGACCCATGACAGTTCAATACTGGTTCCCTGGGAGCCTGGGAACTTAAGAGAAGTAATTATTCTACCTATAGTTGATTACTTCAGGATGGGCCTTGTGAGTGGTAGAACAGATGTTGGTAGAATTTTGGTGGTATCCACCTGGTTCTGTCTGATTCCTAGAATACTTTTCCCACCTGACTTACTGGAAAATGACAAAATTTTACAAATAAATATGAAATAGTCCCTGCCCCCAAGGAGCTAAAATTCTGTCAGGAAAAACAGCCTTTAAGGATCTAAGTAAATACAAAATATACACAGAGTACCTACCAGATAACATCAGGCAGGGATGAGAAGGCAGTAACTCCGGTGGGTATCAGAGAAAGGCTGTGTCGTAGATCATGGTTATGTTGAGCTTTGATAGAAGTCAGGGGTTATAAGAGGCAGAGGGGAGAAGACATTGTGTGCATTTCAGGTTTGGAGGGCAGTTTTTGCGGAAGCACAGAGATAGAAGTGGAGAACAGTGAACGTGCTAAACAGAGGAGTTCATATCTCATGCTACCTGCAGTTGGGGCTGCCATTGGAACATTTTTGAACAAGAAGATGGCATGCTCAGACTTTAGACAGTTTTGACACATGGTTGAAAGATTGATTGGAGAGGAAACCAAGTTAATGACTAATGTAGTAATCCCCATTATCAAATGCAGTAGAGGGATCTAGCAGAATGAGAACTGAAAAAAAGGCCATTAGATTTGTAAATTACGAAAACAGCTTCTGGTTAAGATGGAAAGGAAAGGAAGTATGCATTTACTAAGCTCCTACCATGTGCCAGACACTGTGTTAAGCGCTTTATAAATATCTCATTTGATCCTCATGGTACCCTCATGATAAAATTATTATCTCCATTTTACAATTGAGAAAACCATGGATGGCAGCCAGAGGTTAAGTGACTTGCCCAGAGTCACATAGCTAATAAATATCTGAGGCAGGATTTTAACTCAGATCTACTTGAAGCTAGGCCTAGCACTCTATGCACTGCATCACCTACCTGCCTCTGCAGATGGAGAGATGAAAAGACATAGAGAAGCTCATCTCTCTCACATAAACCCCAGCAAATATCTGAAGAGGACCCCAGGAAGATCAAAGATAAAGAAATCTGAAAATAATCAGAAGTAACCTCTTCCATTCTGTCCAGAACTGTAGAAAAAAAAATGAGGTGAAGAGAGGGGATGTCAAGGTTAACTGACACAAGTACAGGTAAATTCAGAAGCTTTCAGAGGCAGGGTTGCATGAGGTAAGCCAGTGCAAACTCTGAGAAATGAATTAGAAGCTAGAGGAAGCAGGGAGAGGAGTGCCAGGGAAGCCAGCACAAGTTTCTTTGAATTGATGTAAAACCTCCAATACTCTGAAATGAGAGGGCAGAGTTGCAAGCCGGTACAATCTGTAGTAATTAGGGGCCTGAAGCCAGAATCTTGCCCCAGCCTATAAGAACAGAAGTTGGACACAGAACCAACCTATGGAGATCTCTGTCCAAGGAGACAGAGCCCAGCTGTGCAATCCTTGGAGTAGGAGTCAAGACCAGTGCAGAGTCCTGGACATTATACCAGGTGGACCATACAGGAGGCCTGAGAATAGCACAATCTCTAACATCCCCTTGGGTCCTATCAAGACACAGATGGAGATTAGAACCAATATATAGTTTGGAATTATGCCAGGAGGAGTTAAAGTGGCCAGTGCCAGAATCTGTTGTTAACTGCCTAGAAACTGAGATGTAAGACAAGGATTGGGTCAAAGAGAGGTCTCTGATTATAGTAATATAATACTTCTATATCAGATTAACCAAAGCATCCTGGACTACATAGAGGACAGAACCAAACAAGGAGATGTAATGCATCTAATAGTGCCAGAGAGGACTGGTCAGAGCTCATGTGTCCAAACTAAGAATCAAGGCTGGAAATGCAAGTGAATAGAAGAAAACACCAAACAGTGAAGAAATACTTCTCTTAGCAGAGAAGCCCAAGGGATAAACTCTGAAAAAGAGTAACACCACAACTACTATGTAAGCCAAACCTCAGAGGAAAGAAAATTGGTTTGGCCACAAGTACTAGAGGTACTAGCCTCTAAGGGCTAGAGGAAATGAAGCAAGACATTTTAAAAATGGAATTTTAGTTCTGAAGGAGAAAAACAGAAAGAAGAACAAATGGCTTAGAACATAAAATTGGAAACCTTATCTAAGTAGTGTACTCTTTGCAAAATCAAATGGAGCAATCAGTACTCAATTA